ACATCTGAGCGAAGCAATACACGGGGTCGTCAGCGCCCACATTGGCGCGTAAGCTGCCCGCGTAGGGTTGCGCGTAAGCGTCCTCGTCTCCAGTGTGGCGTGCCGCGCTGGCGGCCCGCGTAAGCCGCCGCGTAAGGTCGCTACGCCATCTCGCGTAAGACTCGTCTCTGATCGTCGCCCATCTGGAGGCACGTTCTTCTGGACGAACTCATCCGGACGGAGTCCCAGACATCTGGCGCCTCGAGGAAAAATCGAGACGGAGGTTTTTTACAGTTTTCGGTCCCATGCCGCGAGAGGGTCTGGGACCACCTCGCGTCCTGAAGTAAACAACCGAATGCCGAACATGTAGAAATCGAGTAGGGTGTCGACTACAGAGCTGATTTGCCCCATCATGAGTGACTGTCTCGCCGCGTGTGCGATGAGCTCGTAGATTTGGTCCACGGGCCTGCGGGGCGCCCTGGCATGTTTCGCGCACTCGGCGAGCAGATTTCTTCTCGGGCACATCAGAGCTGTAGCCCGGATTTCGTAATAAAAGGGAGGGGGTCTGGACCCTCCAAGACAAGCCATTTCAGACCTCCCCCGTGGGAGAACCCTCCAAAACATCGTCCCCAGACCCCCCCAGGCCCTCCAAGATAGCCTGGAAGAGACCCCCCCACGCCGAAATGAGACCCCCCTCCCTTTATTACGAGCAGATTTCTTCTCGCTCCCCCTCCCCCTCCCCCTCCTCCTCCCCCTCCTCCTCCTCCTCCTCCTCCCCCCCCCTCCTCCTCCTCCTCCTCCTCCTCCTCCTCCTCCTCCTCCTCCTGGCACATCAGAGCTGGAGCCGATCCCCTGCTCGACAAAAAAAAAGAAGCGTCGCCTGGGGAGCACCGATGGCCGTGGGTCGGCGGCGAGCAGAGGGGGGGAAGCGAGAGGAGAGGCGGGCCCTCTCGGAAGTCTCGGAAGGCAACCGGCCTGCCGAGAAGTTCTCGAAGCTTTCCCCGGAGACAGATCAAAAAACCTCCCAGACCGCCTCGAGCCAGGAAAAAATCACGACGGGAGGTTTTTCGCGATTTTCGGCCTTCAGGGGCCCTCACCGGGCCGCGAGAGCGTCAAAAAACGACTCGGGACGAAAAGCCGGTCATGGGAAAAGGGTCAAGACCTCTGGGGGTCGACGTAATGAAAAAATCATTACGTCGGGGGTCTGGGCTCTCAGAAGGCGCGAGGGCTTCCGAGAAGCCCCGCCGCCTTCTGAGAAGGCCTTCTCCTTCTCGCTTGCCCCTCTCGCTCGCCGCCAAGCTGGGAGCAGGGTTTGGCTGTCGCCGCCCAAGGCTGGGGCGACCGGTGGCCTTCTGCCGGCACCCCGCCGGCTCCGGGGAGGCCGCCGACGGCGTGGCCGCCTTGGCCGCCGGGGGCGCCGCTGTGGTGCTGGTCGAGAACCTGGGGCTCACGGGCGGGCCTAGGACTCTAGGCCTCCCACCATCGTGGAAGTCGATTCATGGAGAGGAAGCAGGCTGCCAAGTAATTTCCAGATGTCTAAAACATGTGATAAACATGTTTTAAACGTGTGAAAAAACATGTTTGAAACATGTTTAGAACATGTTTTGCACAGTTTAAACAGAATTTAAATTCAATGATAGGACTGTTAGGGTGTCCATTGTCATGGTATCCACAACTCTAGGCCTCCTCCAACAAAAAAAGCTGGATGAACGTGGGCATGCGGACTTGGGGTATTCTTGGGGTCGCCGCGAGGTCGCATGAAGGCCCTCGGGTCAGGTTCGTGCCCCGTTGAGTGATGAGATCTCATGGGGGCCGTCTTAGGTTCGCCTCGTCATCTTGAAGTTAAGTCGGGTGTGTCCCTCTACAGGAGGCATGTTCAACGATTGCCAAAAATAGTATGGGGATGATTGTTGTAGTGTTTTTGTTGGGGGGGTATGTTTGAGCATTGTTGGGGTATTTTTTATTTTTCGCCCAAAACCGACCTAATCCTGAAGTCACTAAGCCGCATTGAGAGCGACGCGAGCTCCCTGCACCCTCGTCCAGTGTTGGTGGGGGAGGCCGCCAAGCCCAAAAGTCTGGCCAACTTTGGATCGGGGCGGGGGGCGGGGGGCCAGGGCCGAGCCATTCCTCGCGTTCGAACTGTGCCCTCGTCCTCTCTCACCCCTGATCCCATCAGGTTTTTGGTCGGGGGGGTCGTAGATGGGATCGGAGCAGACGGGGTCGGAGGATCGCGCTGCATCGCCGAAGCATCGGCGATGCGGCTCGATGTGGAGGCCGTGTTTTCCCACGCCGACGTCGCCGATGCTTTGGCGATGCGGCGCGATCCTCTGACCCCATCTAATCGAACACCATCGAGGAGGTCTCTAAGGACGAGGATAACTCCGCTCTTCTCGCTTCCTCTTGCTCATCCCTAGACCCCCTCGGGGAACAAATCACGACGGGAGGATGTGGGCGATCTTCGGCCTCGGGGAGCCCTCGCCAGGCCCTGGGACCGTCAACAACAACCACTCGGGACGAACAACTGCTCCTTGGGAATGGGTCGAGACCTCTGGGGGGCGACGCTATGGCAAGAGAGCGACGTCGGGGGTCTGGGCCCTCGTCGGACGGGGCTGGGACGAGGAGAACTCCGAGAAGGCCGCTGCGCCCGAGACATCCTCCAGAGCCGCCGGGCCTCGGGCCGCCTTTCCCGCGCCAGTCGCGCGCTGGGAGTGAGCGCTGTCGCGGTGATCTTGGCGGCGCGGGCAAGGGAGGGGGGGGAGGGGGCACGAGTGGGGCTGTCTTCTAAAAAGGCGCAGGAGGAGGAGGAGGCGGAGGAGGAGGCGGAGGAGGAGGAGGAGAAAGAGGAGGAGGAGGAGGCGGAGGAGGAGGAGGAGGAGGAGGAGGAGGAGGAGGACGGGCGATGGGCTTCTGCCCTCCCAGCTTCTGAGGAGCCGTCCAGGAAGCCTCCGGGCCCTTGCAAGGAGGCCCCGGCCGCCCGAGATTTGGACGCGCGGGTCGTTGAAAGCACGTATTTGGGGACCCCCAGCTCCTTTTGGCCTACTCCTCCTCCTCCTCCTCCTCCTCCTCCTCCTCCTCCTCCTCCTCCTCCTCCTCCTCCTACTTCATGTTTTCGCCTACTCCTTCCGACCGACCCCGGCCCCCCGCCGTCTTGATATTTTTTCTGCGTCGACCCCCAGAAGTCTGGAGCTCGACCCCCATCCCCATGCTCACCCCCTTCATGAAACCCCACCAAAGTACCACCCCAGTTGGGAATACACCCACCGAAACCCGAAGGGAACTGCCTATGTACCCATCTAGGGGGGTACATCGGCCGGGGGGGCCCAGACCACGCCGCTGCCTAGATGGGCGGCACAGCCGTTAGATGTTGGTATTGACAGTGGGCGATGTATCTTAGCTGTAAGGGCCTCATATCATCCAGCATCATCTCGCATCATCACGCAACATCGCGCAACGGCCTCAACCTTCGTCGATCATGCACCTCCGGTTAAACGATGCTCAGGAGCCCTTCCCCGGCGGCCCCTCCCCGTCGGCTCTTCCCCGGACCAGGACGAGGAGGACGAGGAGGACGAGGACGACGACGAGGACGACGACGACGACGACGACGACGACGACGACGACGACGAGAACGACGAGAACGAGGACGACGCGTTCTGCTGGCAGTCCCGCGATCCAGTGCGGGCCCCTGGAGGCCGACAGTTAGCGATCGAGCCCCCCGGTCGTGCTCCTCGACGCAACGCGAGGGCGTTTCTGGGGACGTCGTGTCCTCCTCGCCCGAAGCTGTCCTCCTCCTCCTCCTCCTCCTCCTCCTCCCTTTTTCTCCTCCTCCTCCTCCTCCTCCTCCTCCTCCCTCTTTCTCCTCCTCCTGCTCCCCCTCCCCCTCCCCCCCCCTCCCCCTCCCCCTCCCCCCCTCCTCTTCTCCTCCCTCTCCTCGGGCCTCCCACCTCCTCCTCCTCCTCCTCCTCCTCGTCCTCCTCCTCCTCCTCCTCCTCCTCCTCCTCCTCCTCCTCCTCCTCCCCCTTCTCCTCCTCCTCCTCGCCCGAAGTTGTCCTCGCCCTGGCCTCGGAGCGCAGGTTCCTAGCGACCGAGGAGGACGGCGTCGGCACCGCGGGGGGCGGCCTTGCCCCCAAGGGGGCCTGCGCGGAGCAGGCCGCGGCGCCCGCCGGGGGCGCGGAGGAGGACCGCCAGGCTCGACTACACCTGGGCTCGCCGAGCGCGTTCCACTACTCGCACAGTGCCTACTCGCAAACGTCCGAAAAACACACGTTCGCCTCGATGTAATTTATCGTAAATCCCCCACGGTGGATCCAGGCCATTTGCGAGTAGTGGTTTTTGCGAGTAGTGGAACGCGCTTGTCTATGGGCATCGCTCGGACGTGTGCTTGGTTTTCGAAGAAGAGAATCACAGAAACGAGCGCCATAAATAGCAAACGCCATGACAAAAACGCCGTGCACTGACGCCGGAAGGGAATCGCATAAACTGGCGCCATAACGCGGTTAACTATTGATCTCATGAAGAAGAACAGAAGCCATAAGAATATACTTTTGGCGCTCCGCGCGGATTTCTTGGAGCCGCGCTGGGCCCCGCAGGCGGCGCCTCCGGCGCCCCCCCCTGGCGCGCTCCGCGCGCCAGGCAGGGGGGGGCGGCGCGGCGCCAAGAAATCCGCGCGGAGCGCCAAGAGTTTATGTTTATGGCGGCGTTTGCTGTTCTTGATTTTTTCGGCCAGGACCATCGAGCAGCATCCTGGATCATCTGGCAAGAATGAGAGGCACGCTCGAAACCGAAAGACGCACGGGGAATGGACGTCCGAGCGATGGCAAGACACGCAATGGTGGCCCTTCGCCAGAGTGGCCTTTGGTGCGGGCCCTTTTGGGGTCCCCCGGCCGCCGAACGTGATGCGACCGTTGCGCCTGGCGCGCTCGTTTCTGATCCTGCGGCCCCCGAACAACCGGGCACCAAAGGTCACTCTTACACCCAGGGGGTATTCTTTGCGTGCAGCCAGCAGGCGATCGCGAGGCTCGAGGATGCCGTCAAAGCCCTCGACGGCTCCCAGAGGAGGAAAGGGCACTCGCCCCGCTACCCTTGCCTCGTCTTTGCCTTCTGGGGCCTCCTGGGACGCCCTAGTCGCCACCGCTAGATTCGCCTTGAACTTTTGGTCAGAACGCACCCCGGGAGACGTCCGGGGAGCAGCTGTATCGGTACCGTTTGGCTTCCCCAGGTTCCTCTGACGCGGATGTTCAGGCGCTCTTGGCGGCCAAGCGGTCCCAGCTCAAGACGCTGCGGACGAAGAAGCTGGGGGACGATCCGCGAGGAACAAATACTGGCATGCACATGAACCTTGGCAGGTCCGCGCAGATTTCTGTTCTGATTTCTCGGATCCGCGCTGGTTCCCCCTCCCTGGCGCGCGGAGCGCGCCAGGGGCGGCGCCGGGGGCGCCGCCAGGGGGCTCCAGCTTCGATACGCGAAATCCTCGCGGACCGCCGACAGTTCATGTTTACAGTCGAAGCCGATCGCAAGGGTGGGTAACCTTCCCAAGGGTACGCCTGCATCCGTGCCTCTGCGGTCCATCCTCAACCACTTGTCATGGCCAGCCCCGCTCGAAGAGCCTCGGCACGGGCGCACATGAGGCTTGCATCCTTACCGCGTATCCTTTCTTCCTCCTCTATCTCTTCCCCCCCCCTCCTCCTCCTCCGCCTCCGCCTCCTCCTCCTCCTCCGCCTCCTCCTCATCCTCCTCTTTCTCCTCCTCCTCCTCCTCCTCCTCCTCCTCCTCCTCCTCCTCCTCCTCCTCCTCCTCCTCATCATCATCATCATCATCATCATCATCATCATCATCATCATCATCCTGTCTGTTTGCCAGTGCTGCAACCACACCATGCTGTTCTCTTCCCCGTCGCCAGACGGTTTTTTGGCGCTCCCGTGCCACCTCGCCAGGCCCTCGCGGCCTACCGCGGCAAGCCTCGTGCGGAGGAGGAGGAGGAGGAGGAGGAGGAGGAGGAGGAGGAGGAACAGGAGGGAGGCGGAGGAGGAGGAGGAGGAGGAGGAGGAGGAGGAGGAGGAGGAGGATCGTGCTTCGTGCCATCATTTGTTCCCCGAGATCCCGAGCCTGTTCCCGTCGCGCAGCTGCGCGCGGCCCTGCGCCGCCTGGCAGACGTCTACTGCAACGACGCCGCCCAGCTGGCGCACGAGAGCCGCAGCTGCCTGCTCGGCGACGGCTTCCCGGTGCGCTGCGCGGGCGCGCTGATGGCGCGCGAGCTGCGCGCCCTGTCGGCGGTCGTGGACCTCGGAGGGGGAAAAGAGCACAGTCAACGCGCTCAGTAAGCACGCGCGCCTTCGTCTAGGGCACCCAGACATGATCGCGTCGTGAAAACATCACGACGGGAAGTGTTTGGCCATTTTCGGCCCCCGGGGGCCCTCGCCGGGCCCCAGGACCGTCAGAAAACGACTCAGGGCGAAAAACCGGTCCCGGGGAAAGGGTCGGGACTTCCAGGTGCACCGACCTGAAAAAATCAGGACGTCGCATGTCTGGGTACCGTTATGTCCTTGCCTCTACGGCCCATCCTTAGCCGTTTTCATTGGTCCCCGCCGCCTCAAAAATGCCATTTTCGGTCTCCAAGCATCTTGCGCCCTTGCCACCCGTCCTTAACACACGTATTCACGTTTTGGCTGTACCCAGGCCCATACCGCCTCCCTTCCCTCGTTTTCCCCTTTTGGGGCTTCCTGGGAACCCCTTGTCGCCACCGCCGGATTCGCCTCGAAATCCTGGTCAGGCCCTCGTCGCCACCGCCGGATTCGGCATCAGTACTTTGTCATTGGTCTCCCCAGGACCGCCCGGTTGCGCCCGTGCTCGCCATCGTCGGGGGCGCAACGGTGGCGGCGAGGCACGAGGTCATCATGGGCCTCCTGGACTCGGCCGTCGGAGATCAAAGCTCGAGTAGGGGATCGACTACAGCGTTGATTTACCCCAAGCATGTTTTTTTCTCGTCGAGTGTGCGACGAGTTTGTGGATTTGGTTCAGGGCTCCACGGAACATTCTAGTATGTTTCGTAAATTCGACGACAGGTCCATTTTGGGGTCAATGAATATGTAGTCGATCCCCTACTCGAGAAACGACGTGAGCGTGAACTTTCGGGGGTCCATGCGGATTTCTCGGATCGGCGCTGGAGCCCCCCTGGCGGCGCCTCCAGCGCCGCCCCTGGCGCGCTCCGCGCGCCAGGTCCTGCGCCCATCCAAGAAATCCGCGAAGAGCTCCGATATTATGCTGATGCCGTTTGTTGGTCCTCTAGGTCGACAGACTGATCCTGGGCGGGGCCATGGTGTGGACCTTCCTGCACGTCAGAGACGGTATGCCCCTCGGCGCCTGCCCCTACGACGCCGAGGGCGCCCCGCTGGCCAGGGAGGTCCTGGAGAAGGCGGAGGCGTGCGGCGTGACCATCATGCTGCCGCAGGACTTCCTCCCAAGCATGCGACGTCCTGATTTTTTCAGTACGGCGTCCCCGGAAGTCCCGACCCTTTCCCCGGGACCGGTGTTTCACCCTGCGTCGGTTGGGTTTTTGACAGCCCCGGGGCCCGATGAGGGCCTCAAGAGGCCGAAAACGGCGAAAACAATCCATCCTGAATTTTGTACGACGCGAGCATGTCTGGGTTTTGGCAACCTCCGAGGAGGAGGAGGAGGAGGAGGAGGAGGAGGAGGAGGAGGAGGCTGGACTCGACCCAAAAAGGGTCCTGCACACGAATTCGACCCAGGGACCCCCAAGCCACCCAGACTCAGCCCCAGCCAGGCATTGCCGCGCCAGGGACCACGCTGGACAGGTCGAGGGGATCCTCGGGGCCCGAAACACCACGGGCCCTGCGGGCTTGGGCCTCTGCCCTGGCCTCCAGGGCTCTGGACCCCAACAGCTGGGCCTCTGCCAGCTGAAGCCCGAACGAAGACAAGACCTCCAGGACGCTGGGCCTCTTAGGGCCAGCCGTTAGGGTACCCGTTTGTGCAACCACAGGAGGCTCGGGGGGAAAATGCCCAGACCAAAAATTGATCTCGAACTCCTCAGGCGACCGCAAGCTCCCTAGAAGCCTGTTCCCTTTGGGGTGCTTCAGGTGCTTCAGAGCGGAATTATTGTTCTTGGCACTTGGGATCGGGCCTCCTGGACACTTATCCTGAAGGCCTCGACCCCGTTTATCAGATACGTACCCGCGGCACGTCGTACAAAAGAGGAGGGTGCCGCAAGACTGCTGGGCCTCACGCGCCTTTTCATCAACAATAATGGGCGCGGCGAGCAGCGCGTGCCCAGCGACGCGCCAAGGTTGCAGGCCAGCAGGCGCGGCGTCGGGCTCCGACGGGGCGCTGCCACCTGGCGCCTGGGAGCTGGCCGCGGCCTCACCTTCCACGTCCTCACCCTCATCCTCGAACTCCGCTGGCCACTGCGGCCACTCGCCGAGGTCGATGAGCTTCAGCGCCACCACTCCCATGGAGTCGAGCATGCTCGTACGCGACAGCTGCACCTCGTGCGCGGCAGCGAACCGCGCCGCCAGGCGGGCCAGCGACAGGCAGCCCTCGACCACGAGGATGTCGCTGAGGTTCGCCCTGGCCGCCGTCGCGCCCTGCTTGGCACGCCTGTCGGCCCGAGCGTTGCCATCCAGCTCGAACTGCGAGACTAGGCCGTCCACGACAGCCTTGGGGCCCTGGTGGGCCTTGATCGTCCTGCAACTGCTCTGCTTGGCCAGCCCAAAGGTGCGCGCGCTGGCCGCTGGCTGCGGCCGCTGCCGACGGGTTGGCAGCGCAACGCACTGTGGCCATGCAGTCAATGTAGAGCCTGTAGCTGCCCCCTGCCACCTGCGACGTGAGGACCTTCACCGCGTAGTCCTCGCCATCTCTTGCCAGCTGCTCGGGGACCACAGCCATCGGAACCGCTCCCCACGCCTCCGCCACAAGCCTGTAGGCCTCGTCGTAGACCACCACTGACCAACCAGCGGTGCGCAGGCGCGGGTAGGCCTGGTCGAGGCCCGAGCCATCAACAAAGACGTGGTGCCCGTTGAGGTGCGGTCCCAAGGTGTACCAGCTCGTCGAACTCTCGAAGTAGTCCGCCTCTGGTCGAACAGGCCGAGTCATCAACCCCGAAATGTCAGGGAAGAGGCCCCTGGCGAACAGGTCGGTGAACGGGAAGCCAAGGTCTTCCACTCGATCAGCGGCTCCGCGCAGCTGCTCCTCCAAGTAGTCGCGCCTCCAAGCCTCGTGCGCCTCGCAACGAAACCGCCTGTGGAAAAGCGAGCCGTCCTTGAAACCGCAGAGCTGGCAATTAGACGGCACCGACCGCGAGCTGTCCGCCGCTGCCACCCTAGCCTGGCGCCAGTAGGTGTTCTGGATGAGGCTGCGCAGCGCCCGCTGGTGGTGCTGGTCCCAGACCTGCGACCGATGCCTGGCCAGATCAAGGATCGGTTGCCAGAAGGGCGGAAGGCTCCAGCCCCACATGCTGGGACCCTGCCTGGCCACCTCCTCCAGCCCAAATGCGACACGGCACTGCAGCGCCACCAGGCTGCCAAAGAATGCGGGAGAGTGCCTCCTGACGTCGTAGGCTGCTCCTGTGCTGTCGTGAACCAGGTAGGGGTCGCCCTGCAAGAAGCCCCAGCCGACACGATCCAAAGTGAGGACCAGAGCGCTGATGGGGTCCTTGACCTGCCGCCAAGGATGCCGTTGCTGGGCGAGCTCCATGCCCCTGGCCAGGCAGGAGCGGGCTGCCGCCTCAGGCAGCAGCGAGGCCCAGATCACCTCGACGTAGGCCATGAGCCCGGTCCTGGTGACAATGGTCAGCGGGTCCCTCTTCCAGCCACTGGCCTGGGCTAGGCTGGCAAGCCCCAAGGCCGCTCCACGGGGCAAACGTCCTCGCGCCTTGATCGCCCCGACACGCAGCTGACGCAGCCTGCCACTCGGGACGCCCATGATGGCCGAGCCCCAGGTGGCCTTGGCCGCGGGGCCCGCACGGTAGACCCTCGCACGGTCCAGCCCAGGGCGGAAAAGGCAGGTGAGCTTCCTGCCCTGAGCTCGCGCCTGTAGTTCTCGTGTGGCCGCCGTCGTGACGCGGCGGTACGACCCTGAGATCGCGCCCCCTCCAAGGTCCCTGTGCATGCCCACAAAGTCGTCTGGCCCGAGGTCCCAGCCAGGTTGCTGCATCAGCGCATGGCGCAGCTCCTTGCTCGTGGCCGGCGCCTTGGTCTTGTGCCTGCTCAGTGGCAGGTTGGCCTCGCGCACCTTCTCGCAGAAAGCCCTGTAGGCAGCTCCCAGCTGCTGGGCCACCATGGAGCGGGGCCCTGCGACGTGGGCCGAGACGTCATCCACCACGTTGAGCAGCCTGGCCATGGGTGCCGCCGCCGCCGCGGCCCGCAAGGCCGAGAGCAAAAGCAGCTTCGCCAGCGCCGTGGCGCAGGAGCAACCAGCCACGACCGTGCCGTTGGGCGCCGCCGCCTCGCTGAGGCAGGAGCTGATGCGCGCCCGCCGCGGCGCCAGGTAGGTGACGCAGAGGGCTCTGAGTAGCCCAAGGTCGAGGCCCCATGCCCGCGCCGCCACCTTGAGCTCGGCGTGGCCAATGTGCTCGTAGTACTTCTGCAAATCCATGTAGATGGATGCGGCTTCCTCTTGCACGTGCTTGGCGTGGGCTACAAAAACATTGTGTAGCCACGCCGCCTTGTCACATCCTCGCGGAGCTGAGGTACCCCAGAAGGGGGTTTGCTCCAGCGACCTCTCCCATTTGGCCGTGTAGCCCTGGCGCACCCTTGACCAGATCCTGGCCGAAAGCGGCATGAGCCCGATGGGCCGCTGCCCTCCATCGGGCTTCGGCAGGAATACCATGATCACGGTCCACATCTCGCCGCAGTAGGGAGCGCGCTCCCAAGCGTTGAGCAAGCTGGCGAGCCTGGCAAGGATGTCCTCTCCCACCTCCAGCAGCAGCCGCGGGTGGAAGTTGTCCCAGCCAAGGCCCGCGTGCCTGGAGAACTTGCGCGCCGCGAACTTGATGTCGTCCACCGTGATCGGCGGCAGAGCCCACTCGCCGACGTCCCACAGGCCTGGGTGCTCCTGGCCGCTCCGGCTGGGTTTAGACCAGAGGGGGGGCCAGTCAGCTAGCACCCTCTCAAGCGCCGGCTGGCCCACCAGTGCATGGTCGACCGAGCCTGCCTCAAGGACGGGGCTGGGCTCTCCGTGGGTCTTCTTGATAACCTCGTGGGCCAACGAACCTTGGCGTTCGAAGGCCTGCTCCGAGAAGTCGTCCCATTTGAGTTTGCTGGCTTTGGCACCCCCCTTGGTGTGCTTGGCCACAACCTGTTCCATCACGAGTAGGAATTTGTAGCCCAACTCCGTCTGGAGGCCCATCTCGCACCAGAAACTCAGGAACACCGTGCCGTCGAACATCATGATGGACTGCCCCTGAACTTGACCTTCAGACGGCTGGCTGACTCGAGGAGCTGCTGCGCTCTTCTGGCCCTGTAGCCGCTGGGCAGGTCGTTCGGCTCGATGGGGCCCAAGTCCCACCTTCTCTTGGACAGGTGGCGCAGCGACAGCCAGAGTTGGGTGACCTCTGACGCTCTTTCGAAGCAGTTATCCTGGACCTTGGCCTCCAAGGGAACTGTGGCTGTCCTGAGGCCGTTGGACTTGCCCTTGTAGTACTTGGCTTCACTACGGGGCATGCCATGCAGCGCCTGCATTGCCTCCTCAGCTTGATCGAACCAGCCCTTGACTGTTCCTTCTAGGCCTGGGCAGGGCGGGGGCCAGGGGAGGGTGGCCACCAGCAGGTCGCGCCTGGTCCTGGCCTCCTCCTCGGCCTCGAACTCCAGCGCAAAGCCCTTCGGCGCGCGCTGCGTCTGGATCATGGGCCGCTTCCAGCAGCCACGCAACACCAGCGTCACGGCCTGGCGCGGGCCGCTGGGGGTGTCCACGTGGCACTTGATGGAGTCCACAAGGTCCTCCAGCGCGCGCGAGATCACGAAGTAGTCGCACTCATTATCATTGCGTGTGGCCAGCCCTGGGGCCAGAACAACTCCTCCCATGAGCTCAGGCCAGCCAGAGGTTGACAGCTCGCTGGCCTCAATGTTCCAGTCGCCACCAATGATGAAGGGCACGTCCAGGTGCGCGCACCACGAGTGAACTTCTTCCAGTAGCTGCCTATTGGGCCCTTGGAGCCCCATCGAATCCTCGAGGTACACCGAGATCATGGCAATCGCAGTGCCCTCGCCCACCGAGACTCGACGAGCAATGAAGCGATGCTGGGCTCCATCCCAAGGTTGGAGGAATTTCGCGGTGCCAAGCAGCGTCGAGGATACAATGGCCACTCCCGACGAAACTGCCGTGGCGGCATCTCCAGTTCTAAGGACTCCTGAAGCTGCAAGAGTGCGCCCTCCTCGGCTGGCCCAACCATGGGCCTGCTCGACCGCCATGTTGGATGTGAACCGCGT